TTCAATTTAATGCCTCTTTATAATCTGAAATATCCCCTATTACCTTAAAGGTCCTTTTGCTTGACCCACTTTATCATTTAAATCACCTGTAACGGCATTTATGCGATGTCTTTATCGCTAATTATGTCACCATAATTTTGTTCTAATTGCTCATTTATTTTGCTTATGAATGGATTTTAATAACAACTATAAATTTAGATTTACGAACCTGTCATGAACGTATGAAACGAAACACCTTCCACGGTTTATACTTATATTTGTGTTATATACATTTTTAATATGTATAAAAAGTACGAACAAGTAAGGCTGTCAAGTTTGTTTTTCAACAATAAATCAAAGTTATTATTTAAAAAAGAAATAAACATTTTATGGGCCTTTAACACCTCATACACAAAAGTTTTACTTATTTTTAAATCCTATTGAAGAGGATCACAATAGGGAACTGGTACTTTTATATACGTTATATACGTTTTACGACAAGAATTACTAAAATTATCACCGGAATTGATTATATTACCCCTATTGATTATATTTCTCACCCCTTGATGTATGCTCTATAGTAATTATTAATGCAGGATAATGCAGCTGATAATCAAGCAGTATATTAACTCCAATTCAATCGAATTCAAGACAACACTAAATAAAACACCTGAAAACCGGGACTTTTCAATGAAAATCGGGCCATTTCTTATTTTTTTTAAACAAGGACTGTTCTTCTTTAAGTTCCATATTCTATCGAAGGTTGGAAATCATCATGGCTATGCGGACTCTGTTGACTGCCGCTCTAAAAAGTTCTGCACTACTGCATTCAAACCATTCCCTTAAGTTCTTAAGCCAGGATATTCTTCGTCTTCCCACATTTCGCTTTCCTCGGATTTTGCCCTGCATAATAAGTTGTAATAATGCGTATTTTTGCCATCTCATCACATGTCCCAAGTACTCAAGTTTTCGTCTTTTAATAGTTAATATTATTTCCGCCTCATTTCCTATCCTTCTAGTTACTTCCATGTTTGACATTCTTTGAATCCATGATATTCGTAGAATTCTTCTGTTACACCAAAATTCAAAGGCGGCCAACTTATTCAGATGAACTTGTTTTAGTGTCCAAGCTTCCAGACCATAAAGACGAGTAGAGAACACGTAACATCGAAGCATTCTCAGGCGTAGTTCTAACCTTATATCCCGACAACAAAGAAACTTTTTAAGTTTAATAAATGATGTACGTGCTATTTCAATACGTGTCTTAATTTCTTTGGTTTGGTCTACATCTGATGTTATCCATGTTCCTAAGTATTTATAGTTATTAACACTCTCAATTGCAGTATCTTCAATAGTCAATTGGATATTTGCATGTGCAGATTTAGTCATGATCATGCATTTAGTTTTCTTTAAATTTATCTTCAGTCCGTACTCATGACAGCATTCATTAAAGCGTTGCATTAGGTTCTGTAAATCATTGTTGTTATTCGTAATTATTACTGTATCGTCGGCAAAACGTAAGTTATTCAAAACTTTTCCATTGATAGATATACCTTCTATTGAGTCTGGATAGTTCTATTCTTCTATTACAAGGACTGTAATACCATCATTTTATTGATTATTTAACATTTTTTGTTGACAATGATATTTTTGATGGGATTAAGCCATAATTGGTTATAATCATTATATTTTGTTAGTTTTTAACGTTTCTACTTCTAAAGAGAAACAATAAAAATGTGAATAAATTTTCACCATAATTAATTCCACGTCAAATGGTAACATATTGCAGCCACATTGCAGAGTGTTGTGAATAATGTGAGCCGCACAACCGATACCCATCAAATTTGGATTCACCTGTAGTTTTAGTTTGTAGTAAACATTGTTTTGCCCACCTCAGTTTTTACCACCAAAATTAGTATTAGTATTATCGCATCAAATTGAAACTAACTTTCTTAAGATGTACTTTTCAAGGGTGTTCCTCAAGAGCTGCACAATAATATCAGATATTTCCCCATCTTCAGCTGTAAAATTCAATATATTTTCGTCTAAATGGAACGAAATATCTTACCACAACCGGGAATATTTTTACGTTTCCATGATTAGATGCATCGGTAATTATACCGACGTATATTGTGTTGTCCATTGCATTAACCAATTGATTTTTGATGTATGGACCAAAGATATTTTTATTAATTGCCTAACATTTAGTACGAGCTGACTTAAATTTGGTTAATCCAAAGCAATTCCGAAATATTTTCGATGAGCAATCAGCTGAGCGGAAGTTTTTATTTTCCTTAATCATATGATACGCCCAAACACCTTCCCGAGATGCTGTCTCTAAATCACTGCAACAATTTCCTTAAGTTCTATAAAATGACAAAAGCCTATCTATCTGAAAGACTATATTTATTGTTCAGTAGAAGAGTTTCATATGGCTGATAGGGGACGTCCTGAATATTATATAGAATAGGTGCGAATAAGGTTCGCACCCGCGAATCAACTGAGGACATAGTATAGGGCAGCAGCTAGGCTATTACTAACTCCAAGGCTAAAGAATAATGACTTTTTAATAGGCTTGGAATCGGATAATTATAGGCGACAATCAGATATTGTTTTAATAGGTTGTAATACTGCAGTGTGTAAGGCAAGTAGAATCCAATACACTAAATAATAGTCTCAAGATATTATGACTATGGCAAGTTAGGGAAAACAAAAGACCCCTAGTCCGTAGCAAACCTTAAATGGTGAAGGGATGCTAAGAATCCCACCACGACAAATGCTAGGAACTACCCTAAAGTGGAAAACAAAAATGACACATTGTAAAAAGAGGTAGCCACGGTCATTTTGTTAGATATAGAAGGGGCATTTAATATTGTCACTAGCAGCTCTTTGATAGGGTCTATGAGTAGACGAGGCGCACCTGCGGTAATATGCAGATGCATAAGAGCATCTCTGGAGAATAGGACAGTAATATCCACTCTGGATAAAGCAACCATCAGAGCAAAAGTAGGCTGTTCACAAGGAGGAGTTCTGTCCCCTCTACTTTCGGCAACCTTGGTAGATAATCTCTTCAGAAATCTGTCCACAGAAGGCTTTTACTGTCTAGGATATGCTGACGATATAGCGATCGTTGTCAGGGGTAGGTTTGCGCAGGTAGTGTCTGAGAGAATGCAAGTTGCCCTAAATATAGCTGATGACTGGTGTAAACAAGAGAGACTGATAGTCAATGCTCAGAAAACACAAATAATCAAATAGGTAAAGAAATAATAAATAAGACTTACTCACAATCAATTTAATTTAACTATCAGACGACCGGTTTCGCTTTCTACAATATGCAAAGCATCTTCAGCATCTTCAGCAAAGCATCTTCAGGTCTCGATACAAAGTTAAATAAATGCTGAAATGATAAAAACCCATATTAGGGTGTTGTCTAATAAAGATAAACAAAGTAGATGTTGGAAATTACAATAATTATGCCAATATTACATGTCTGTGGTTTTTTTCAAAAAGAGTAAGTTGTATAAAAGGTATAAAAGTTTTAAAAGTTTAAACAGACAAGGTAAGGCCCACAAATTGTTATGAAATAGTCTATTAGATTGTAATAAATTAATAAATGAGCAAATAAATAAACATTACTTACATGCCGGTACTCTATTAATTGATGGATGGTAGAACATGGTTAAACTACTATGTATTGTTGAATGGAGAACTCAATTCTGCTATTGTAGTTATATGACAGTAAACGAGAAGTTCTTGAGGAGATAGATTTGATCCAATGAAGCAGATATATGTGTGTGATTGTTTATTAAATGAAAGTGATGTAATATACCATTGTATTATTAAAAGTTATTTATACTTATTCGATACAAATAATCAACTTCACCAAAAAAACAGCACTACAAAGCCCAAACCACTGGAGAAACTGGTGCTGGAAGGAACAGAGATTTCATTTGCTAAAGAAACAAAATACCTTGGTTTGTATTTTGATTATAGGCTTACAACACTAAAGGTACAGTCTCGAAGTTATTAGACTCTAAAAAGAGTCAGGCTAAAGAATGTTATCTATGACTAGAGGTCCACAATAGATCTGAAAAGATCGCAGTGGAATAGGCCACCTCTCTAAATTTATCTATCTATCTATCGTGCTAATTTTAGACAATCCCAAGAACTCCAAGAGCTGTTAAATACATCCAACTGATCAAGCGAACTCAGATATTGGTGGTATCTGTATTAAATTAAACAAAACCTAACAAAATAAATGTTTTTGCCAAAATATGTCAACCTAAGTTAACTAAAATAAAGCGAAGTATATTATAAATTACATACCAAATTTAATTACTTTTATTTGGTTGTAGCACTTCAATCTTGGAGGTATTCAGAGAAAGAAAACGATCTTGGAGTTGATTGTTGTCTCACGAAACATTTGTATATAATTTAGTATCATCAGCTAAAAAATGAAATATTACTTTTGATATTAAAAAATAATACACTAATACTGAATCGGACCCACAACTTATCACTGTAGCACACCACTACACGACTCACAACCACAGTATTTTTGGTTATTAAAACATCTTCAATACACCAGGTATTTTTTTTTTTTTTTTCATTATGCTCAAATTGGACCAATAAACGATCGTGAATCCAAATATATAATATAGACTGATTGATTCTTATCTCATACCAAAGATTAATGGTTTGTTGAGATTTTTCTTCTTATGTTTCCCTCAAGGATCCTTAATATTCCATAAACTTTCTAATCAAACACATGTTTTCGATATATCATTACTATTTTATAAATTGTTAACTATCTAAAACATGAAGTACTCTACCCTTATTTGTTATTTATTGTCTATTTTTGAAATAGAATTGGTATTTTTTGTTTTTAAGTCTCTTACGATAAGATAATAGATCGTATATTAATTGCTAATTTTATTTTAATAGAATTTTTAATTATTAATTGTAATTAAATTATAATTAAATGTTTATTACCAAACGTTTATTACTACTGCTTTACACCTATGTTGGAGAGTTAGTATAGCTTAAATAACATATATTATTTTTTTGTTACAGCTGTATGCCCATGCTATTTTAGGATATGGGTACGATTCAGGTGGAGATCAGTCATCCTGCGGCCGTCCTTATAGGTCTGGAAAAATGTTCCAACCGCCGTGCGACCTACTGAAGCAAGGATACTGTACGTCAGCGGGAAAAACTTATCCTTGGCAAGCTGTTAGACGTTTCGTTAAAGACAACCAAGGGCTTATGAGACGTATGTACGGAGACCAGAGACATGGGCATGTGCTAAGGGCTGAGTTTCCAGATGAGCCAGAGATCTTGAATCCGCTTGAAAATAGTATTAGATATTCTAGGTAAGTTAAACTAATAATAATGAAATACATATTTCCCAGTAGTAATTGGTTTCAATATCAGCACCATCCATCTTAGTCAACCATTTTCCATCCATTGCTGAATGTAGGTCTCTCCCAATTGCTTCCATCTTTCTCTATCTTGCGCCAATCTAATCCACTGTTTGCCTGCCACTGCTCTTATGTCATCTGCCCATCTTTTTTGAGGTCTTTCATGCTTCTTGTTGTCGTCCTTGGTCTTCATTCTAGAATTCTCCGTGTCCACCTGTTGTCATTATATCGGGCTACGTGACCTGCCCAGCGCCATTTCATTTTTGTAATTTCTTCCACAATATCCCTAATCTTCGTTCTACGTCTTATCTCGGTATTTCTAATCTTGTCTCTTAGTGATATTCCAAGCATGATTCGTTCCATTGCTCTTTGCGTTGTTTCTAATTTTTTGGCAGAGTTTTTGGTAAGGGCTACTGTCTCCAAGCCGTAGGTACAAACTGGTAGTATGTATGTGTTATACACCTTTTTCTTTAAGTTTATAGGAATGGAGGTGTTTTTCAAGATATGTGCTAGTTTGCCGAAAGCGCCCCAAGCCAGTTGTGTTCTTTTTTTCAATTTCAGCATCTTGATTTGGTTTTCCTAGTTTGATAACATGACCTAGATATACATAATGTTCCACATTTTCCATACATGATTCCATACACCATCCATAATGCTAATTAATTTATTTTTTCGTGTCCAAATTTTCTACCCAGTCCAACCTTCCTTGCTTGTTAAGCCATAAATCATCGAGATTGCAGATACTGGGGTAGTTGTGGGAGGTTAGTATGTGTTCCATGTTCTGTAAGGCACCTCAGTTGCAGTTATTGTCTGTCGAGTCTCTAAGATTTCACTTTATTTGGTTGATTTTACTGATGTTACGCCATATATTGGATTTGGTGTTCCTCATATTGGTACTCAAGTTTACACCACTGAGCATTTCATCGATGGGTGGGTAGTTTTAAGACGGACCGTCTAGCGCCACATCAAGGAATCTGTTAAGAGATTGTAATCTTTTTGAGTAGCTTTCGGCTTTAAATAGAAGGTGACATTTATCACCTGTCTGATTGATTCATTCCGTGAATTCGTGTGCTTTTCTGCGGCAGTTTGGGGCTAGCTAAACCAGCAGTTCTAAAAAGGTTTTCTGTTGTAGTTGGCTTTATATAGCCTGAAGTTTTGCGTGCTTCATTCAGGAATTTTTTTGCATAAATTGATTAGGATCAAATCGAGCAGGGTACTTTGCCGTAGAATAACAGAGCGCATGGAATGTGGTTCTCAAGATAACCAGTCTGCCCTCCAACCTGCTATTGGGGAGTTCCTCCAAATATTGGTTCTGGATGACACTTTCTGACGTAACTGTTTTCACACATTGATAGATAATCTTTGTATTTCAACAAACTGTCTACAGAACATCCAGATAGATTGGATTCTTTGTGTATTCGAGAGTAACACCATCCCGTGTAACTTGGAGTCTCCTCTTTGCTGACATGTAACAATGGAATAAGCTTACTTGGATCTTAGCTAGGTTTGGTTTGAGAATGTTGTTTCGATAGTAATTTAGCTTCTTCTTCTTCAGCTGTCATCTCCGCTACGGAGATAGGCAATCATCATAGCTATTTTAATTTTTGAGGCAGTACCTCTAAATAGTTGTTTTGAGCTGCATCCAAACCATTCTCTCAGGTTCTTAAGCCATGAATTTCGTCTTTTTCCGATGCCTCTTCTTCCATCTATCTTTCCTTGCATTATGAGTCTCAGGATGCCATATTTCTCGCCCCGCATCACATGCCGAGATAATGTAGCTTTCTTTCTTTAATTGTAAGTTCAACTTCCATAGGTCCACATTTCAAACGGGTTAAATCTTTGCCACATAGAACCTTTTTCATTTTCATAAAATTAGAACGTGTTTTTTTCGATTCTGACTTTGATTCTGCAGTTTAGTCATTATTTTCTGTTATAAGTGTTCCTAGGTAAGTGCACCTTTTTACCCTTTCGATATGCTGGTCCTCTACTATGAATATTTTGTTAGTATTATGGTTGTTTTTAAAAGTTTAGCATGCTGTCGAGATATTCCTCTAGTTTCTCTTCTACTTCCTTAAAGATTTCTCCTTGCACAGTATTGGCCAGCTATTTGACATACAAAACGTTTTCTGTCTACTCGGGTATTGGTTAGTCGTTTGTATATATATTAAACAGGATGAGGGCCAGAACGCTACACTTGGTAAAGCCATGATTTATTTTTTTCTTTTGGATCTTCTTTCCATCCAGCGTGACATATAATCGCATTTTTTATTTACTTAATACATTTTAGTAATCATTTATTTTTTATATTTTTAGATATCATTTTGAAGGTGTCGAAAACGAAGATAATGAAGTAGAAAGTGAAGCCAGATTTCTCCGCGAAGATCTCTCCAACGACGACGTCCTTAACACCAAGTTCATTTATTCCGAAGAACCGATAATATCCATTAAGTTAGCTGGTTTAAAAACTGCTCCACACTTTCGGCAGGCTACCGAGAGAACTACAAAGAGTACGCCTATCAAAAAGTCTGAAGAGATCACAACCACCGAGAACTATTCAGAAAGTGCTGATTTTACTACGACAACGGAATCAATTCTGGAATCTACGACTTATCTGATGAACGAAACTAGAGAGGACAGCACCATTACTACCACTACTACAGAAGGGGATTCTGTCGATAAGAAAACTGACGAAAAAGAAAAAATGGCAGAGACTATGCTTTTTCAGGATGTTGATAACGACCAATCAAAGAAAAAGTTGCATGTGAACTATAACATGAAAGGAGTGTAAGTTTAATTATTATTGTTGCAATTTTTTCTTTATCTCTTATTAGTCTAGATGGACTCATTTTTGAAAAAAAGTTATTAATTTTTAAAATTATGCAGAGCTAACAAAAAAGTTTTAAAACTTAAAAAGTTTTAAAACTTTTTTACATAACAAAGAGCATCAAGCTTTCAAATCACATTAAAATTCCCTTGGATAGGAGTATTTAGGAAATTTTTTAAACAACTATACAATTTTTAACCTAATTGCATAGAAACAAATAGAAAAAAACATTAAGATTGGTCAATTAGTTCCATAGCTATGATTCCTAGATGTTGGTTTAAAAATGATGACTAACATAGGGGTATAAACATTTGGCTTTTTAAAATTTAAAGGAAGGAAAGAATTGCGTTACACCATTGTAACATGTTACAATTTGAACAAAGTAAAAGAAATAATTATAGGTCCTACGTTAACATTTCAAAGGATTTCCTTTGCTATGTACGGTAAGCAAGTTTTTTCGTCTTTATTGGAATCTTCAAAAGACAACTCAGTCCATGACACTGCCTGGCTGACTTTAGTGCAGGATTCGTTCTTCATACTCGTGGCGGTAGTTCCCGAGGTACTTTAAAATGCCCTATCGTCGCCAAGTCTACACCGAACGACTACTTGCTAAACCAGACCCTCCTCTTTCCCCACAGTCTGACTCACACAGTCTAACTCACACAGTCTAACTCATACAGTCTGACCCACTTTTCTACTTTCAACTTCCAACATCTTTCCCTCATACCTTTGCTGTTGGTTCAGCAGTCTTTCTTCCTCTTCCTCTGTATAGGCATTCATCTGTGTCAGTATTTCCAAACCTAGAGAGGTAGGCCCTAAAACACCCGTGTCATGTGAGCACTTACGTCAGGAAATAATCCAGTCGCCTGTGGCCACAGTCCAACCAATGTCTTATATTTAGGATCAGCATTTTCGTCCACTGTGCCACATCCTCCGTGTAATTCCATTTTTTTTACCATCTTTCAATTGACCTTTCCTTTTGCTGTCTTCTCTCGGACATAGTAAGATTTGGGTCTCTTCTCTTATAGAGCTCTTTTCTTTCCACCGCCAGAACATGAAACGAAACACATCCAGTAATGGTCCATGAGGATGTCACAGACACAGTTCTGTAGGCGTATGCCACCCGCAACAGACTTGTTCTGTCCACTCGTGTCATGAGCCTCCTATAGGCCATTATCTTTACCGTTTCGCTCCAGACTGGTACCACGTAGAGGGCGATCGACTGTACAACACCGTATAAGACCCTCCTCCTTTCGGATTTGGATCCCCCAATGTTGGGCATCACTCTCCCCAACGCAGCCGCACTATTCGCAGCCTTTGGGTCCACCTTTCGCACGTACTCCCCTCATTATCCATTCTAGTTCAATTTCATTCCTAGGTATTTTACGTGTTCCTTGGGTGTTAAACATGCTCCCGCACATTAAAATTCAACACTTTGCCTGTTTCTTTTTCCCTTCGGAATAATGGCTTCGATTTTCTCTGCCGCAAGTTTTAGTCCGTGCTGGCTCATCCATTTCTTTACGATGCCATCTGCGTTCCGAACCCGGTATGTGAAATTTGGCCTATCTCGGGTCACTGCCAGTACAGCTAGGTGATCCGCGATGCGAAGAGGAATGTACTCTCTCCATATTCACCTATTCACACCTATTCACCTATTCACACCAAGACAGATCCCTGAGGGACCCCAGTCGTTACGTCCACGATCGTGCCCTTTTCCACCATAATCCTTCTCTCGGACAGATACTCCGCCATCTCAGACTCGTTAAATGCATTCTGAACATCGAACCACAACAGGGATGCCCAGCGATGTTCATCCCCTCTGTTACGCAATGCTTCGAGCATACTCACAATTGCATCAATCGTCCTTTTCCCTTTAGAAAAACCAAATTGCCTCCAAATTGTGCTTCCAGCAGTGCATTTATGTGTTCCAGAAGCCACGTAGGTTCCTCCCGTCTTCGACCCTTCACCTCCTCAGGTGGTATCTGATCCAATCCGGGGTACCTGCGAGTCTTAATTTAACCCAATGCCTCGACAATTTCATCTATGGTAAAGGGTACATCCCGCTCAGCTCCCTCGTCCCGCCATACTCCTAGCCATCTGCCGTCCGGAAAGAGCTATTGTGTTACTTTAAGCTTCTTGTCCATAGGCATTTCGTAAGGAGGATACGCATGGAACTTCTTCAGGACGATCTTGTATCCCTGACCACAGATGTCCTCATCCAGCTTTTCACACAGCTCTTTCCAGTGCCTTCTTTTTCTGTACGGTAAGCAAGCTGAGTTATATAATATGTAAGAAAAAATAATTTATTTTGCATATGAGTTAGCGCCATACCCAGTTTCGTTTTTCAAAGAGGGCCTTCTCAGAAAAACTGTTAAGTCTAAATTTTACGATAGTTTTGAAGCATTAAAAGATAGCTTTATATATGTTGTAGATGACCAATTTCTGCTGCACAACGTACTTTTTAACAACTGGCACCATTTTGAGTACTTCAATGTTATGGTATTGAAGCACGAAAAGATTCTTTTTGAAAATCTGTCACAATAATAATGAAAAAAAAAACAATAAATTACAAGGCAGACACGGGACAATTAAGCAATATCTGCTGGAATGCTCTTAATATTGTAAATTAATTTTTTTGTCTAAACAATAAAATTTTGACCATCCTGTATATTTTTAACGTATATAAAACTGATATTGTGTCCCATATTCTATTGTGTCCAAGTAATACTATCAATACTGTTTTAAACGAACATGAAAATGTTTATAATACTCTATAATACTAATATATAAATCTGTAAGTTAATAATTTCTAACATCGTTTTTTTTTATTATTTTCGAGACTGTCGTCGATTTATATAGGCCAAACAAATCCTAGGATTTATTAAAATCTGATGTAATTCTGATTTAATTTCACTAGGTCAGCAACATTTATATGCAGGTCATAAAATTGATTTTGAAAACCTAAGAACCATAGCCCTCATCCACTTCTATAAACCAAGAATTATCCGAGAAACCATCATCATCATCATCATCTTTGGCTCGACAATCCTCTGTTGATCTTGGCCTGCTCTAAGATTCGTCGCCATTCTGTTCGGCTTTTGGCAACATGTTGCCATCTTCTGATTTTTAATATTCGTAAGTCGGTTTCTACTCCATCTAACCACCTAATTCGCGGTCGGCCTTTGCTTCTTTTTCCTACAGGTGTTCCTGTGGTTAGCTTTTTAGCAATGGTATTTTCTGGCATTCGTATTATGTGTCCAGCCCATCTAAGTCGCTGTGTTTTAATGAACGTTATGACATCTGGCTCATCAAATAGCTGATACAATTCAAAATTATATCTTCTGCGCCACTGCCCTTGGTCGTTTACAGCTCCAAATATTTTGCGGAGTATTTTACGCTCATCTTTCTACGTTAGTGTCCATGTTTCTGCTCCATATGTGAGGACCAGCCTCAGCAATGTTTTGTATATAATAATTTTAGTTCTTCTTTGAATGTTTCTTGAGTGGAAATGCTTTTGGAGTCCATAGTATGCCCTATTTGTAAGATTTATTCGTCTTTTGATTTCTTCGCTTGTTTTATTCGTAGCAGTCAATAGCGATCCAAGGTATGTGAAGTTGTCAACATGTCCAAAGGTATGACTTCCAAAGACTGTTTCTCGTTCCTCATTTGCTATCGGATCCTTTGTAACCAACATGTACTTGGTTTTGTCTTCGTTGATGACTAGACCGACTTGTTTCGCCGCTGTTTCCAATTCTAGAAGATATTGCTCAACATCTCGCTTGCTACGCCCTATTATGTCAATGTCATCAGCATATGCTAAGACCTGTATCGATCTATTGTAAATAGTACCGCCGTCCCTAATTCGTGTATCTCGGACTGCCTTTTCTAAGGCAATATTAAATAGGAGGCAAGCCAGAGCATCCCCTTGTCTGAGTCCGTCCTTTATCTCAAAGGATCTAGAACTCTCTCCCTGTATTCTAACAGTGGCTTCTAAGTTAGACATTGTCATTCTCGTTAGTCGGATAAGTTTCTCTGGTATACCAAACTCATGCATTGATTGGTATAGCACTGTTCTCTTGACACTGTCGTATGCTGCCTTGAAGTCAACGAATAGGTGATGGGTTTCAATATTGAATTCTAATGTTTTCTCGAGAATCTGTCTTATTGAATGAATCTGGTCAATTGTTGATTTTTCTGGAGTGAATCCAACTTGATATTTGCCAACTATGCCCACTGTGTAAACTTGCAACCTTTCGTAGAGAATATTTGCTAGTATTTTGTAAGCAGTTGTTAACAGAGTTATACCTCTATAGTTGTCACACTGGAGCTGGTCACCTTTTTTATGTAACGGGCATATCACGCCTTGAGACCATTCACAAGGCATGGTCTCATTATGCCAAACAAGAAGTAAAAGCTTATGCAGTGTCTGTAGTAGGGCATCGCCACCATTCTTGTAGAGCTCACTGCAAATTTGATCAACTCCTGGCGATTTATTATTTTTAAGCTTTTTAATGGCTTGGGCAACGTTTTCGATGGTAGGTGGTCTTTCGTTTGGGTTGAAAGGATTCCAATCATTTCGATTTGCTAGGGTGTTATCTGCTTCTTCGATAGGATGGCCATTAAATTTTGCATAGAAAAATTCAACCCATCTGTTTAGAACTGAGGCTGTATCATTTAGGATGTTTCCTTCTGCATCCTTACAGCTCCTTATTCTTGGCTTAAACTCTTTGCGCATTTTGTTTAGATTTCTGTAGAACTTTCGAGTTTCATTTTGATTTCTTAGAAATTCTGTGCTTTCCAATTGCTTTTGCTCAAATTGTCTTTTTTTTCCGAGAAACCATAGATATTGAAAAATCTCTAATTTGTCTTAATAAAAGAGATGACGGCATCCAGTTATCTTCCACATAAAGATCATAAAGAAAGTATCTACCGCTCGACCCTCCAATCAAAACCCCTCCGTCAGAAATGTTCGCGCCAACCTCCGCGCCAACCCCCGCGCCAACCCCATGGCAACCACCATCCAAAACACGACAACATCAAGGCTGCCAGGTCTAGGGATTTATCCCGAATCTAGGGCTATTTCAGTATAAAAGGGACAAAGGGATTTTTTTGATATTTAGTGTAAAATCTAGGGATTTTTGACCAGCTCAATCTACATAAGCCTATTATAATATAATTTTCTTTAATTCAGGTATAAAACCACTTCGTATTAACAGTATTAAATAAGCGATCTTTTATTACAAATAATTAAACTACTGGTAAACTACTTAGGGATTCTATTATCAGATGTCGCTAACTGTTCAAGTTCTTGGAATCTTTATTTTATGCTAAAAAAACTAAATAGATTTCTGCCAAAAATAGATTCCTATATATTTTCAGAAAGGAGAAGCAAATTCTTCAGCAGAAATTAGGGGATTTACAAAAATCTTAGGTTTTATAAAATAAATAATTAGGGGATTTACAGTAGAAATCGGGTGAATTACAGAATTCGTGAAAATATTTAAATAAAATTTTATGCTTCACCGTCTCATTTCTCTAAGTTGTATTTTGTATTAATTTTGTGAAATAATATATAATATTATATTAAATGGAATATTCAAAGCCATAAATAAGTACGTTATTCCGTTTTTGTTAAATTTATTCAAATCATCGCTATTGTGCCGTTTAAAAATATGTTTTTGAAATAATAAAGATAAAAACAACAATTTTTTTTTATATATGTTATTATATTAAGCAACCATCAATACATCCCATCATTTTATCCAGAATTAGGCAGCCATATATACATTTATTCCAGTCTAGGGATTTCTAGGGATATTTTAATGTTCAATTTAGGGAGGACAAAAATTTTGACCTGGCAACCCTGGACAACATCAATGTAGTAGTGTCTGGAGTGTCTTAGACATAACCGTAATACGTATTTTTACTTTTAGGAATGCCTGTCCCGTCCGAGAAGAAGTCGTCGCCCCATTCTGGGCGAACAACACCCGAGGAGAAGTCCTGGCTCTTCTTAATATGTACCCATTCGAACAATACGTACACTGGGAAAAGTGCACATTTGAACATCGCCAAATGTACTGCAGAGACGGTTGCAGATGCGAACAGCAGTACAGGCTTCACAGGCTACTGGCGTACGATCCCAGCAACGAGTGTAGAGGAATCTTCTCCGATTGGTTTAAATTTCCATCATGTTGCGTTTGCAAATGTTACGATATGCCTGTTGAGTTTAGGGTTACTTCTAGGAGTCCTAGATACCAAACAAATGCTGATGAAAATTAACTTTCAAAATAAATAATCGATAAAACTAATAGATGTGGATTGTTGTAAAGTACATAATTTTATTTTAGGTTCAAATTACTAAATTTTTCGCTTAAAGAGGCTTAAAACATTGATTCTAGTCTGGTTGAAGTCAGAAATTAATGTATTAATCAGATAAATAGAGAACTCATTACCAATTTTTTCTTGGAATACTCGTTTGAAACATTTAAAATGTTGTAGCCTAGGTTTTTGTTGTTATATACTATAGAAATCATATAGATTATGTTCATTCAGTCATTTACGTAAAAATTGTATGCAATAATAAAGTACGATGTATTTAATAGTTGAAGATCATTTGGTTTGATCCAGTGAATTTGTTAAAACAAGACAAATACATACGTTGCAAGTGAGCCTTGTAACTTAGCAAATAAATCATCAATCCGTGTTAATGTTAAGGGAAAATGTATAATACATGTCTGAATTGTCAATATGAATGATTCAAAAAACAAAATTTTGTTTAATTTATTATTGTTTTGTATTTTAAGAAATATTTTAAAAGAAAAAGTCGAAATCGAAACATCAAAATTAAACTTAATTTAATGTAAAATTGTGGCTTATTCCCAAAAGAAATAGTACCTAAAGTACCATAAAATTTTGCTCTACATACACTAAACATATTTTTTGATTATAATATCTATCTAGGTTTTGTTAAAGGATATTCAATTCCCACTGTTCAGGTATTTTAGGGACTGATAAGAATGTTATCAAAATATAAGCTTCTTCTGAAAGACTGTATAACAAAATAGCTCTTTTAATATTAACTTCTGTATTTGTCTAATACATTTGAGTCTTCTAATAAATTCATTTTGTACAAAAATTTTGGGATTATTTAATCTCTACATTTAATGTTAAATATAATTTTCTGTCCTTCTTATTTAGTTTATTATTTCTATAAACAATTTAAAAATTAATAAAAACGTTTTCTCCTAGTAGCCCAGTCTGGTTATGCAAAAATGCTCGATTTCACGGCAAAATTTTGGCAGATATCTGAAGCTTTTAAGACATAGGTGGGGTTACTAGATGACGAATAGATGAAAAAGTTGATGGATTGGACCGTTACTTGATGGAAATTCATTTTATGTAACAATAAAACACTGAAAACTTTGTTTTCAAACTTCCACAAAATTTATTTTAAATATTATCACTACAGCTGTTTCGGTTGATTGCCTTTCTCAAGTGATCTATTTTGGCTTGGGTTTACAAATTTATAGTCTCTAATGAAATAGGTTGAGGAGGGGAGAACTGTTTGTCTCAAGTTGGTCATTCAGAATTATATCTGTGTTTTTTAATTTGTTGATTTCCATAGATTCTAACAAAGATAGCTTAAGGCCTTTATTTTGAATGTGAAGAATTTTAAATCTGTCATTAAAAGAATGATTATGATCTAGAAGGTGAAGTGCGTATGTCGAATCTGTTTTTCTATTCTTGAAAGCCCTTTTATGTTCTGCTATTCGTTTATCAAAGTTTCTACCAGTTTGACCGATGTAAGTTTTTGGTCAGTCGCCACATTCAAGTTTGTACACACCACTATTTAAATGTTTTTTATTTTGGCTCTTGTTATTTTTAATATATTTGCCTAGGTTGTTATTTGTTTGGAAAGCTGGTGTTATTCCTTTCTTTTTTATGTGTTTGGCAATTTTTGTTGTTATTTTGCCTGTATATGTCATCGAGCAGAAGGTACTGAGTTTTTTCTCTGGTGGTGGAAATACTAATTTCAGGGCTTTCTTGTGTAGTTTTTGATTTAACATTTTATTAATTGTTTGTTCGTTGTATCCGTTGTTTACTGCTATCTGCTTAATTATATTTAATTCTGTCTCAAAGTTGTATTTTGACATCGGAATTTCTGTTAATCTATGTAACATACTATGATAAGCTGCCAGTTTATGTTGTGTTGGATGGGATGACGAATTGTGTATAGTCGTGTCAGTATGGGTAGGTTTATGAAATATGGAGAAGTCATGTTTGTTTTGAAGTCTGCTAATTCTTAAATCTAAAAAATTTAAGGATTGATTTTGTTCTGTTTCTATTGTAAATTCAATATGACTCTCTAAAATCTTTTAAAATAAAATCTTTGTCTCTAGATGATCCATAAAAATATCTGATAGCAATGGGCTTAGAGGATTACCCATTATAAGTCCTGCACTGTTATTTGTATAAATTTTATTATTAAATTCAAAGTAGTCCTGGTTTATGCAAACTTCAAGAAGATGTAAAATTTCAGATGTAATTATTGGATTTGTACTATTTTGGTCTAAAAGGTTTTTTACTAGAATAAAAGTTTCTGTAGGAGGGATACTAGGAAATAGATTTTTTAAGTATAAACAATTGTAATAACTTCTATATTTTTCAAACTACAGACTTGTACGTACAACCATTGTATAGCTGGTAAAAAAACTCACATTCAATCGAAAATTCAATACAATCATTATTTTGGGATAACATTACTGTTGTGTTATCACGAGTATTAGAAAATGAAAATTTATTAAATCAAATTTAGTGTTAATTGATTGCTAAATTAGTCAGTTCATACTTTGTTTAACTAAATCTAATATTTCATAAAGGTAGCTTTTATCTGTGACATTTGAGTTTTGAAATTTCTTGTGGTAAACGTTAAAACAAGATCTTATTTTTTAAAATATAAGAAATGTATTATTGTCATAAGAAATTCCAAAAGTATCCATCGATATGTAAAAAGTTATATATATATATATATATATATATATATATATATATATATATATATATATTTTATATGATTATTACTATTCTTATATTTAATGTATGGTAGATACATATTTATTTATTGTTAATATTATATTATGTATATTATTATATAATAATACGAAATTGTTCAGTGTAAAGAAGTTAATTACTAGAAAAATAACATTAAGGTACAATAATTCACAATTTGTCATATATTTTTTGATGTTATATATTATCTAATAAGTTCTTAGAAGTATGTCTGATGGTAATGTGGAGCAGATATGAAATAATGATGTATTTTGGATCATTACAATATCAATCCCCTTTACCGACATGTCCTGCCTGTCTTCTTCCAGATCTCTTCGTTGGTCTTCCTCCTCTACTTCTCCCAGGAACCTTCTTCTTCTTCTAGTTCCTATCCGTTTCGGATGTTGGAAATCATATTGGCAATCATAACCTTGCTCGCTGCGGCTCGAAACAGCTCCGTTGAGGTTTTCTTAAACCATGTTCTTAAATTCCGCAGCCATGATATTTCCTTCTACCGGGTCCTCGCTTACCTTTGACTTTACCTTGCAATATAGACTGTAGCAGGGAGTAACGGTGCTGATTTCTCATAACGTGTCCCAGATATTGCAATTTTATGCGTTTGATCGTAAACACAATCTCTGGTTCCTTCTTCATTTTTCCTAGAACTTCCTTGTTCGTGATCCTTGCTGTCCATGATATTCTCAGCATTCTTCTATAAAGCCACATCTCAAATGCTTTAAGTTTTTTAATAGTGGCGTCTGTAAGCGTCCATGCCTCCGCCGCGTACAACAACACAGAGAAAACATAGCATCTCAAATGTCTCATTTTTCTATCAAGGGATATGTTGTGACTTTTGAAGATGGCGCTCATTTTGTTAAAGACCGTTCTTGCCTTTCCTATGCGGCACTTTATTTCCTGTAAATTGCTCCACTGTTCGTTAATAATAGTTACCAGGTAACAATACTGTTTTACTCGCTCTATCTGCGTCCCATTAATGTATATATGAGCCCCATTTATATTCTCCTTGCTGATAATCATTTGTTTCGTTTTGTGGGTATTAATGTTTAGTCCGTACTGTTGACTGTACTCGTTTATTCTGTCCATTAGCCTCTGAAGTCCCTCTAAACTATCTGCTATCACCATGGTGTCGTCGGCATATCTAACATTGTTTACTCTTTCACCATTTAGAAGGATGCCTTCGTCTATTCCGTAAAGAGCCTCGTTAAAAATTTTCTCTGAGTCCCAGGAACCAGGAGGTATTAATTCATATCTCATTTAACAGGTCTGGTAAATATGTATTCAATCATATTGTTTTCCCTTTAATACTGACCTTCATTGTTTATGAATCGTTCTTTAAAACTGGCTTTGTTTAAACCTTTTGGTATGTTTCCCTCGTTATGACAGCAAAACACTTTAACGAATGTTATGAAAAATTTACAAAGTAAAAAGTTCAAAGTGATTCAAAGTATTCAAAGTGACCGACACTAATATTCAGGCAACAATAAAGTTTATTTATAAATTCTTGTCGCACTATTTGAAACGTTTTTTTTCTTAAATTTCTGCAGACTTAAGTAATGCGCTGCTACTATAACATCCCTTCGATGCTAGATAGATAGATAGATAGATTTAGAGAGATGACCTTTTGGCATATTCCGCTGCGACCTTTTCAGATCTATTGTGGTCCTCTAGTCCTAGATAACATTCTGTAGTCTGGCCCTTTTTAAAAAGTCTAATAGCTTCGTAGAAATGTATCTTCCATGCAGCTATTTGCCAATGGATTTTCTTCTCCCAATGCAAAGGACCGCACATTTGCCAGACTGTTACACTGACATAGAATGTGCTCTGCTGTTTTTTCTTTGAGGTGACAGAATCTGCATAGGTCATTAACTGATAATTCCATCAGCTTCAAGTGCCTATTCAGCTTACAGTGCGCTGTTAGAACACCTACTTGTGTTAGCTTCAGGTCTGACGTAAATTTTGGCGAAGGTTTTGTAATCAACTTTTTGGCCTGTCTTTGTCCTGGTTAATTCCTTCACCATCCCAGAGATTTGTGAGCTACTCACTTCCTTGTAGCCGTTCTTGTTACTGTCCTTGTAATGCCGCAAAAGGGTTTCGGTCCAAAGAATGGCATTGATGAGCCTTGTTTGGCCATTTTATCTGCTTTTTCATTGCTGTTATGACCTTCGTGCCCCGGTATCCAGGCTACTGTAAACTTGTTACGGTCTCCTAGTTTATTTAGGGCAAACACACACAATCCCATACTAGCTTAAAATTGACTCTTACAGAATTGAGTGCCTTATCTACTATGGGATGTATCCACTTGCAGAGATAATTTTGGTTTAACAAGTCTCTCTCATGGAGATTAAAATGTGGTTAAGTTATTTTCATTAATCAAAACATTTCTTTGGTCAGACTCTAGTCTGCATAATTTAATATAAACTCGTTGAAACTTGATCGACAATTAACATTTCACAGTAACTAACATTTCGCAGGTACATATCTGAATAAATAGCCCGCTTTCAATAATTTCGCTGCTGGGACAGTCCAATGCAGGAATAAAAATAAATTTGCAAAACGGGACAGCAACATCTGTCCAATATGCCAGCGCGGATTGGGATTCAGTGCGTCTTTTATTAAGAAAAACAATATCAATCAATTTCAAATCAAAATAAAATTCTAATTATTTTAATTTTTTATTGAATGAAACAAA